TTTTATTGCGCAGAGCGTGGCCGAAGTGTGCACGAGAACAATGCCGAAATAAAAAGGAAAGGAAAAGGCACAGGTGTGTGTGGCCGGCAGAGCTCCCTGCAGCAAGAACACCAGAGCAGCGAGGAGGCAGAAATGATAATGAAATAATCACGATAATAAAAACACTGCTCGTAATAAATGCTGCTCCCAGACCATCGTTATGGAAAAACACATTCCTCTGCACCTGTAGTCCTGTTTACAATCATTTACATAATAATAACATTTAAAATGTATTATTCAGCACCAAATAGTGCAATAAAAAAAAAAATCTTCCTGTACCAGAATCATGTGCAGCTAAATGAAAACACACCACAGTTAGCGTGGAAGCCTGCCTCTACAGACATTCATTTAAACCTAAAAAAAAAACACACATGGCTAGAATACATGCTGTATCTGTATTTTTCTACTTCCCTACTATCTGTGTAATATAGATGATAATCTGTTCAATATCAACACTTCTCCCAGTATTTCTATTCATGCAAGAATCCCTTCAACACTGTTTTATTCTATAACTCATACTTGTGTATATTTTGGCTTATTTTTCCACACGTTCCTTAAATGTTTACTCTATCTTTACTGCTGTAGCGCTGCAAATGTCCCCACTATGGGATTAAAGGCTTATCTTATCTCAAAAGTAGTTTAAATAGTACTGGGTCTGCATTCAGACATGTTGGATCTGAGCTGTTCAGGTGTTTCTCAGCTCTGCTTCCTGCTTCATCCGTGCTGGAGGCGGGCGGATGAAGCAAAGAGGACGATCGCAGCAGCTGAGACTCGGAAAGCAGAGCGTGTTTGTACTGCAGGAGCTCCGTTAACTCCGCCGCAGCTCTATTCGTGGTCACCTCGTCTGACCTTCTGGTGGGTCGCTGCGAAATGAAACGTGTGCGTGGTTTGTTTGTGTGGCTATCTCTCGACTCCCAGGAACGACCGAATGTTCAGGTGTGGCGCCGAGGGCTGCGGGAAGAGCTTCTACGTGCTGCAGAGGCTGCAGGTTCACATGAGGACTCACAACGGCGAGAAGCCCTTCATCTGCAAGGAGAAGAACTGTGGCAAGAAGTTCACCACCGCCGGAAACTTGAAGAACCACAGGCGCATACACACAGGTGGGGAGCAGCAGATATCCACGCACAGAAAAGCCCAAACACGCTGGAAGCAATAACTGACTCAGGCCATTTGAGTCTGCTCATTTAATGCTTCCTCGGTGCAGGCGAGGCCGGAGATTTGAAGAGTCAGCAGCACTGGCGCCTCCGTTTCACTGCTGCAATCAGTAACACTGCTCTGTCATATTTTATTTAGGGTGACATTAGGGTTTCTGATGGCCTGCTCCACAGTCTTCTGTCTGGGGATCAGTTGGCTGAGCAGCTACACTTGCTTACATTTTACCCATACGTCTGTAAGAACGGCCTCTATGAGCTGCTGCTGACCTATTTCGCTTGTGTTTTTTTTTGTTTGGTCCACAGCGTGTTGGGCCACCACTTTGAACACATTCACGTCTGATGCTTTCAGAGTTTAATCAGGTCTTTGTGTTGCCGAGGTAAACAATATGTATGCGTGTGGTGGGTGGCCGCTTTCAGGAGAGAAGCCTTTCCTGTGCGAAGCAGATGGCTGTGGGCGATCGTTTGCAGAGTATTCCAGTCTACGAAAACACATGCTCGTGCATTCTGGTGAGTGGGACAGAGTTTACAGCTGTAATTAGCGATGCTACGGACACATTATCACCGCGCCTCTCTCTCTCTCTCGCGGTGTTTCCCAGGTGAGAAGCCTCATGTGTGCGGGATCTGTGGCAAGACTTTCTCCCAGTCCGGCAGCAGGAACGTCCACATGAGGAAGAGGCACGGAGAGGAGGGGCTCAGCAGCGAAAGCAGAGAAACGGGTCAGTCACACATACACACTCCCACCCAGCGTGGTGGTAGGTGGATATGCTAATCCGTGGATTATGTAGCTCCCAGCAGCCCATACATTTTAAAATGTGCATGGTAGATGGTGTTGGTTTAAGTTACATTTAGGAACATTTCTTGAATTATTAATGACTTTCAGCACTTAAAAAATTCATCATTCAAATTTTCTCCTCTTCGGGGGCCACTGGCTGAATTGTTTGACTGCACATATCTGCGGAAAAGCTGCAGAGACGGGACTGTTAGGCTTCCGGTGATGGGGTCAGACTCTTCTCAGCAGCCAGTTAAAATGGCACACTAACTCAAATTCATGTCTCCGAGCTTCTTTTTTTTCTTTTAACGCCTTTTTGCCTCCACCTTACGAATTAGTGAGATAAATGAGAGGACACTTGAATAAATCTCCCGCCGCAACCGAGGGAAACTCGCTCCCGTCTCTGTTGTCGGTATCGTTTTCAGCACCTCTCCAGATTAGAAGCGCCCTTTGCATTCCGGCATCTGGGCTAATTGTACGAAATAAGCCTAAATTCATTTTTAGCGCGGAACAATGACAGCAGACGGCGCGTTTGCCTCCTCGTCACATTTGTGCAGCAGCAGTAGGGAAGCACCGCAGCTGAATCACCACAGAGGAAACGCTGCCAAGGCTCTAATTATAAACAGCAGATTTATTCGGGTCAGCTTCCCCAAAGAGGCCAGTCTTTTGTAAAAGCAGAGCAAAGGCAGATGCAGTTACACAACAGACGGGTAGTTTGTGTTATTTATACATAACCGAGTCAGTGAATTATTAATTAAATCGACTGTGTCGGACGGAAACGACAACAAAGAAACAACTTTCACGCGGTGGTCAAAAGGTTACGGAGAACTAAAAAACTACATCTGATTGACAAGTGTGATTCCTGTAAACGTTGTGGATTGCTGTAATACCAAGTTTGACGTTTGACAGGAGAAGCTCTGACACAAAGCAGCCTGCTGGAGGCCGACGGCGAGAACGGAGACGGCATGGTCACCATGACGACAACGGTGGAGCCCATGAACCTTCATCACGCCATGCTGAGGTCACCAGGTAGGCGAGATAAAAGGGCGGACGGAATAACAACACGTCTGATAATGAAGCGGCAGCAAACAGTCATTTGGTGAAGCTCGTAATGTCCTGAGGTGCTGAGTCAACTCGTGGTGCCACTAATGTCCCGCTGAGTGTTTTGCAGTCGATGTTTGTGAGTGTTTTCAGTGAACGCTGTTAATCTTTGGTGGTGCGTCGTCTCTATGGCTTCTTATGTTGGGATTTTTTTTTTAACAACTCAGATGTCACTCTTTGTACTTTGCCGTGAAAACACCATTTAAAAATAGCGATTGTCAAACTTGAAACACAAGTTTTGCTTTACTTGATGTGACTTACGTAACAGCTTCTCTGAACGTGGTTTAGAAAAAGGGATTTAAACATTTTCCCCCGCTTGCTTCTTGACACCACAAACGCTGGTCAGTTAAACTAATTATTTATATTTTATTAATGTGCTTCAAGGTGCAAAATGGGACAGACAGCATCTCTTAAAACCAGGGCAGTTTGTGTATCTGTATCTTTGATCTAGAACTATGTAGGCTGTGTGGGAGCAAAGTGGAGCACCACATTCAGCACCGGCATGTTGACGTGAAGCTGCACGGTAGTTAAAATGTGACTGAACTTTGTTTTGTAGGATAACGCCTCATGCTCGTACGCACACGTTAGCAGCACTTAAAAGGCTGTGACGTACTTGCAATGTTTTGTTAAACTTTTAGTTAAATTGTGCTCGGCTTTGACTGTTTTCTTGCTTTTTGTCTTCTTCACAAGTCTGAATTTAAATTTCCAATCGATCAACAGGGAGATTAGAAGTCAGGAACATCCCTCATTTGAAAGAGCTGCGACTTTGTGTCACAAAAATCTCGGCAAACAGGAGAAGTTGTGCGGATCAGCGGTGACAGACAGTTTGCATCCTGAAACTCATTCCTCTTGTCATCGCTGACACATTACTGTCGTTTCGATTGTGACTGTTGTGCTTGTTGTGGTTTGACAGCGAAATTCTGGAGCAGTTTGTCTGCAATGCTCCTAGAACTTGTGTTGGTAGTATTAAATTGCACAGCTGCCTGTAAAGTATCACCGCTGGACAGGTGACAGGGTGTGAATGTAGTAATATTTGAGGTATTGATTGTACTCTCGGTGGAAGCAGATACCACAGACGTGCAGCGGTTCATAACTCCACTACTTTAACCCTGTAAAGCCTGAAATAATTGCCAGAATTTTAAAACTGGAGTGTTTATTGAACCTTCTGACAAACTAATATATATGTTTTTTATATCAGTTTGCATATATGAGTTTTAATTTGTACAATTTTTGCTACATCCAGCATTGTTGGTGCATGAACTGCTGATCCATGGTGGATTATTCGTGCACTGATTGTATACATCTTGTTTTTCAGGGGGGAAAAAAATCCCACCGATGATGTCGAGGTCTCAGAAACTCATGTAATAAATATGATGCACTTGGCGCTACAGGGTTAATTCTGCTTGGGGCACTTGTTCCATACATGCATGCTACTTCAGTGTCAGCAATAATTTATATGTAATTACTGAAGTTAGCAGCGCTGGTGTTCTGTTGTTCAACTCTCCAGCTTTAGAGATGCTCTTGTGGGTCCTGCTGCAGGTATTTAATAAACTCCTATAAACAGCTGGAAGCTACAAACTAAACTTCAGCTCCTGTTAACGTCTTATGGGGGGAAGAAAAAGCAGGGATTACATTCATTATTTGTAAGTCTCATTAATCTAAGCTGTTCGTGTTTGTTTTTATCGCGGTGAAGTTTTACTATTATGGACATTCCAGTTTGTAGCTTAATAGATCTGAAATCATGAAGCAAATTGAGTGAGAAAGGCGTGTTGGGACTAAACTGTGTCTTTTTATACTCTGAGATGTTTTCAGACCAACATCGGTGCTTAAATGTGGAAAAGGTTTCTGTCCGTTAACGTGACTGCAGGCAGCTCAGATTTGTGACTCTGTTAGATGCTCAGTCAGACATGGGACACGTTCAGCTGCTGTCAGATTTATGGAACGGATGCAGGCATGAAGGGGGCTTAAAACAGCACAACTACACGTCTGTCCAGATTCAGTACATGTTCCAGTTTAGGGGGTCGTT